TGACAACACCAAGTCAAGGGTTAAGATCACCTTACCGGTCATCTTTTAAAAAAAAAAAAAGATGACTGGTAAGGTGATCTTAACCCTTGACTTGGTGTTGTCAGCACCACGCCCTCCTAAGTGTGCTAACCAGCCATCCCTATATAGGGATCCAAACCCTTGGCCTTGGTGTTATCAGCACCACACTCTCCCAAGTGAGCCACAGGCTGGCCCAAGTAATATGGTATTCTGACCTTGGAGTATTTTCTTTTCTTTTTTTTGTATTAGTATTTTCAAAGTCAGGCTCTGAGATATTTACACAGGTCAAGTCCCAGCCATCTACCACAGCTGACATGTCTTCAAATGGAATGACAACTTGTTGAAGAACTCACTTGCTTACATCCTTGCTTCTGAGATAACTGCAGTCTACACTGAATCCTCATGGTGGGTAAAACATCAGCAAATTGGAAAGGCAACACCTGATGTGTATTCCCAGCCCCTGCAGAGCATCCATTTGCACCTTCAATATTAACACTAATTCCCCAAAGGTAAGAGGAGAGGTATCTTCCCAAAGACAGTTTCCAACAGAATGGAAAAGGGAAACATATCCCTCTCAACTTTTCTGTAAAACTTATCACCCCACTTAGAAAAGTTTTGAAACTGTGGGAGCATCAATTTCACTATCAGAAGCAGAGGAAGGGCATGCATTGCCTCTTTTCATTCCTTTTGGGAGCTTGGGGGGGGCTTCTATTACTCTAGGACAGGCCCCCAGACTGGAGGATGGCCAACAGGCCCCTCCACAGGAGCAAGACACATCACCTATTCAGTGTGCCCAGACTCAGAGTTCTGTGCTGCTCTACTCACCAAAGAACTGAAAGGAACAGGATGATTATTAAAGCATAGTAAATATGAATTTCCCAAAACCTACCCTGTTCCTGGACATCAGTGATATCAGAGGCCAAGGTCTCCTGCCATTCCTGTTGTATTTTTCTTTCCCTGTTCTGATAAAAAGAGGACCAAGAAAAGTCTTAAACTTTACTCCTACACGGTTTGGTGATCTGAATGCCATTGCTGGTGAACTGATTTCACATTAGCACTGGGGCCTGGCTTCTTTCTGACTGCGCAGTTTCTATATTTCCTTCTATAGGTCTGTCTTTTTTTTCACTTCAGCTTCCTAACCACTGTCCCTCTAAAACCGTAAGATTAAAGAGCCAAGAACAAATCAAGCTTACCATTCCATGGTACTGAGTACCTACTATTGCCAAGGACAGAATACTGAGGTTTCAGAAATCAGGAGGACCTTAAATTTACCTTGGAGAAATGTATAATCCATGGGGTAAAACTGACACATAAACTAAGTGTTACAAGACAGTGTAATAAACTACCCCACAAGTCTATATAGAGTGCTGTGGTTGCTGAGGAGGACATTAATGCAGTGGTTGGCAGTTAGTCGAGGAAAGATTCACAGGGGAAGTGTGATATTTGAATATGGCCTTGATTGGTGAGTGGGATTTTGTCATAATGGGGATGAGCAGATGGTCAGTGACAGCAGGGCATTACAGACAGGGACATGATATATAAGGGCACAATGCCATTAAAGGGTAAATATAATGAGCATGACTACAGCCAGGCACAGTGGAAACATAACTAAGGCATTAGCAGCCAGCACAATACGATGTAATCTTATTATTTCTCCATGTGTTACTGCTTTATAAAAATTCCTTTGTACTTTGAAGAGGACATCCTACAACTGGGTTCCGGGCCCACAACATTTCCCATTAAACACCCTGATAGTCAGAAATATGGTTCATATATTTTCTTTGGGAATCTCTGCCAACTGGCTACTCTCCTCATCCAGCCAGAGCCTGAGGGCCTAACTACTCAGTACTGCTGGAGTTCCTCGAGCTGTTTTGCTGGTGAAGAATTCTATAGTAAGGGGCTTCAGACTGTCAAGGTGGGTTCTGGGAGGCAGAGGCATGGCAAGCCCCTAGAAAAGTTAGGACTAGCCCCCATCCTAAGCATAAGTTTCAGGTTAGAATGGCAGATATTTCCAAGATAAGCTTCTTCAAAAACCCCCAAATCCTAGACCACATGGGCAGCCACCTAAGTCATATTCCCATAAAAGTGAAAGGGAACTGTGGGGAGGAATGAGGCCATCTTACCTTTTCTAGACAGAATGAAGATGAATTTAGAGGGCCCAGTTCTGGTTTCTGGCTTGAGGGAATGATTCTTATGAATTTAATAAAACTAAGTTTGAGCTTAAATCCTGTTGCATAGAGTGGCCCTAATGGAAGCATTTACTAAGGTTGGTGGTAGGAGCCAGAGGGCAAAGGCCCTAGGGCAGAGGTATAGCCTACCTCTGAATCAGGAGAGACTCCCCTCACAAGAGAGTGTAGCTTTTGTGCTCTCCTGAAATCTTGAGAGGGGTCTTCTCAGGCAAAAGTCAAAAGAGAGGAAAAATAGCCTGAAGTAAGACTGAGGGTGCCATCTGGGACATCCATCAGGACATAATATCCTGAAAACCTGATGTAAGGTTGTTTTCTGGTTATGTTCAGAATCATATCTATCTGTAAAAGTGCAGTTCAAGCAGAGGTGGCCAGAAAAAAATAAGCTCCGTGCAGTCAGTCTCGTTCACTTCTGAGCTGTTCATCTGCTCTCCCCATTGTGTATCTTTCCAAAGTTTGAAACTCGAGGTCTGGGCCCTTTTCATTCACCCAAAACACCTCTTATGAAACAGAGGTACATGTTGTTGTCCTCTAAGTTTTCCCTGCCCAGGCTCTCAATATGTTCAGACGTGCACAATCCACACTGACTATGATCCTACATCCTAACTTCCCCCGAATGAGGGAGAAAATATTAAGCATTGGACCATAGGAGCAAATTCAATTTTTCCAGCTCAAGTGACTTACACTGAGAGTCACTGTGATCAGTCTAATTTAGGAGAAATCCTCTCCCTGGAAACAAGGTCTACAATGTAGATTGTGTTTGGGCGTTGAGTCAAAATCAATAAACATGTTTCTTTTACTCAGAGTTTTTTTCCCAACCCAGAATCAGGTTGAAAAGGTAATTATCTTGAGTAAGAAGCTGTGGGTACTGTTCTTGAGGGAGATGATGTGTCAAACTAAGAATAGGAAGGTACGATGGGTAGAGAGTGAAGGAAATGTTCCTTTAATAGTAATTATCTTGATTGTATAAAGCATCTTTGTTCTCCGGAGCTTCATGTACTCCTCTTGTACTTTCTCATTTCTTCTTCTTACCTCTCTAAAGGATGGGAGGCATAGAAGGGGGCCACTATTTGCTTAAAATCATTCAGTGGGCCAGCTGGCCATGGCACAACTGGGGCCCTGTACTCTGCTCCTGCCCACAGAGTCAGAGGTCTAAATCCCTAAGGGTACACTCCTCCCCCAACTAAATTATAGGCTCTCCGAAAGAAAAAACCAGGTTTTACATATGTTTGTGTGTGCCCTAGCTCCCAACACAATTCCTTGCAAACAGGAAACAGAATCATCATTTAGAAATAAAAATAATTTCATTCCTCTACTTAAAAATGTTTTAGGGAATTCCTATGATCTTGAAGGTGGCCTCAAGGCCTCTCATGATCCAGCCCTTGCTGACCTCTCCAGTAACATTTCTCAGCACTGTACTCTGAGCTCCAGGTACACTGGCTTGCAGTCACCAAAAGCACTATACTTTTCCCTCTTGGTCTGAGCTCTTCTAAGCTACACTGAGCTACTCTGGAAACCCTTCCTTCATAGCCACTTTTTAATTTTTTTTAATTTTAATTATTTTGGCAGCTGGCCAGTATGGGGATCTGAACCTTTGACCTTGGTGTTACAACACCACGCTCTAACCAACTGAGCTAACTGGCCAGGTCCTCACAGCCCCTTTATGCTCCTTTTGTACCCCGGGCTTCCTCTACCCCTGCATATAGACATCTATCATGAATTGTCTGCCTCTTGGTGTTTTTAGGGGAAAGTATGATATCCCTGGTGCTTGGCACATGGTAAACACTCAATGAAAATTTGTTGAATGAACCCATATGTAAATCCTTGCTTGATAACTGATCATGTAAGGTGAAGGAGGTGAGTTGTTAGTATTTGGGTACTTAGGGTCAGAGCTACTTTGAAGACACAGAGAAGTTAAAAAGAAAAAAAAAAGGAGGGATCTATAAGGCATTATAACAGCTAATAGCTATTTAAAGAGGGGAGGAAAAGGAAAAAGGCACTATTTCGGAGACTATTATGGAAAAGAAGCGCTGAAATGGAGGAGTAGCAGATAAATGAATATCTAAATGAGGAACAGAATCCATAAATGAAATCAAATACCATCAGGGGCCAGCCCATCACTGCTCTAGAAGTTTTCTCTCATCAGTTTCTAGTGCTGATAACATGCCTAGCTCATCTATAAAAATCACACGTTCCTAGACTCAGACCCCGGTGTAGAAGGTGGCAAAAAGTTTTCTAAAGAGAAGATTCTTTACTGGATCCTATCCCAATTCAATACAGACCTATTTTCTTATTCCAACTGCAGAGTACAAGAACCAGCTTTTTAAGTTGAGAAGAGAAGACTTTTTAACAAAAGGATTCATCGTTGTGTATATTATGCAGCCACTTTTGGGACAGGTTGTGGCAAGAGCAGAATAGTTGAATGTTGTTCTGTAGACAGTGAAACCTGAGAATGAATTCAGTCAATTCAATCTGCTCTAAAGATCAAGATGTGCTGGTAACAGGAATCCTGACTTGTGACAGAGCAGGAACAGCTGAGAGCCTTGAAACCTCCATTTTGGTGCTTACCCTCCTAGCTTCCATAAGGGGCTTCTTTTTGCTGGGGCCTTGGCTGGAAGTTCCCATCTTGGCCCTGAGGAAGGGAGAAAAAGCCCAGGAAATGTGACTGGCAGTGGCAGCATTACTGCATCGAGGCAAATGTGGCCCAAATGAATGTTTCAGCAGGTTGGCTATTTTTATATCACTCCTGGCCAGCAGAATAAACTGTGTGGCCAAATTTTCTTTGGGTGCTGCTTTACTGTACGGTAGAATCCCACTTAGAGATCTGGGGATTGAGAAAGGGAAAATGTGACTGATAGCATGTATCAGATTTTGAAATACTTGATTGTCTATCAAAACCCAGAGAAAGAGGCCGGCCCGTGGCTCACTCGGTAGAGTGCGGTGCTGATAACACCAAGGCCACGGGTTCGGATCCTATATAGGGATGGCCGGTTTGCTCACTGGCTGAGCGTGGTGCTGACAACACCAAGCCAAGGGTTGAGATCCCCTTACCGGTCATCTTTTAAAAAAAAAAAAAA